CAAGAAGTCATTGGAGAATTTATTTTCAATAGTCAATAAATTTGTAGTGGACACTTAAAATATTTTTTAAAATTTGGATTGATAGCACTCCTTCCTTCTGACAAATTGATTGTAACTATTTACACTTCAGGTAAACTATTAATTTTACTGCAATGAACAACTGTACTTTGCATGATTGAATGATAAAACTGAACTCTCATCAAGCCAGCACATACTAGTAGTATTTTTGCATATGATTAGCATTTTAATAATCATTAGTAGGCAGCCAGATTTGCGTTTATTATCTTTAGGAATCATGTATTTATCATTTACCTTTCGGCAATTCTTTACTATTACCTATACCTATAAAGTTGGGCATTTTATAGGTTTTGACTATCAAACAACATTGTTTGGTGATTATGTGATTCTTTTATGAATCATATTCATTTGTAAGACCTTGTCAAAAAATGTCCTGAGATGTGTAGTATTTAGTGAAAGAATGGAAATAGTGTGCCATGCAACTAAATTTTTTTATTAAAATAGGCCTATGATATTATAACTATAGGTTTACATAACGAGCCAAAAATAAATGTCAAAAACCATTATGTATATCGTATAAAAAAAATAATGATTTTTTTTTGCATTTTCAAAAGATAGGACACAGTTATTATTGGGTTTTAACAAGAGAATTGAATAGAGTGAGAAGGATTTGTATGTTATAATCTTCTTCATGCAATGGTGGTTTATTGACTATCTACATCAATTTAAAAATAATATTTATTGATATTTTGGTACCAATCAGGTCACACCCCAGTACAACTTTCAATACGTATTCATAAGAGTATACTATATCTTAAAAAAATAAAAAGGGTAAATCCTATCTATGTGTTAAATGACATATCACATCAATTAAAAAGCAATACGTTTAGTAATACACTTGTACCATATTTTGTGTTTGTAACTCTTGGCACTAGATAACACCTATTTTCCTAAAGTAAACCACCTTATAGGTAGTTTGAGTTGCACAACGGAATTTTATAGTATAAGAATAGAGAGCAAATGGAATTTTGGCGGATTCTATTCTATTACTAAATTAGTTTTGTTATTTTCCCTATACAAATATATGTTGGTTAGGTTAGGTAAGAACATAGTTTCATCGTGTTACAAATATGAAACTCTATGATTGACTTGTGTCCACAAAGTGTTAATACATTACAATATAGCTTTCTTTAGATTATGAGGTTTTCTGATGGACACATCAAGAACCAACTTGCGTTATATTCATCACTGTTGAAAAGTACAAAATCCGATATTGCATTGTTGCATGGAAAGTTATAAAGGATTAGTTAGAAGCGTGTTTAGTTTTGAATTTAAGATTTTGTTGTTGAACCAAGAGCTTATAGTTTTGTGTTTTTTATTTAACTGATAGTGTTATACAATTGAATAAATGTGATATTTATTCTATCTTGTGTTCTTATATATTCCTGGTAATTATATTATTCAATTATTCTCTTTATTTTTAAATGTAACAAATGTGTAATGACTGCTACCACAGCCACCTCTAATACAAGGCCGCGACGTTCGAACTGCCAACGCCGCACTCACCCGCCGTCTGGGTCTGGCACTCGTGCTAGGCTATAAACATCAATGAGAGTATTGCTGCTCTGTATCAATGAATGAAAGTATTTAAATTACATATTTTAGTGGATTTTAGGGTATGGTAAAATAGACAAATTCGAATCTAGGTTTTTTATTTAGTGAAAAACTGCAACATACCTCAATATGTCTAAAACTAAAATACAAAAATAATGTTTTTGGTTGCATTAATAAACCAAACATAAATGAGAAATGAAATAAATGAGAAATGATAAATGATGTATTGTAAGTACGATAAATGTGGAAATAGATGGACTTTACATATTTCCTTTGTTAATTTGATAATCTATACTACTATATAACAATCTCATGGTGTCTGTATATATGTGTGTTATTCAACATAGTAAAAACTACTAGACTTAAATTTTAAATTAAATTTAATAATTTTAAATTTAAATTTTAAATTTTTTTTTGGGCTTAAATTTTACAAAATATAGCTTCTATACCAAGAATGGTAATACAGTAGGACTAACTTATTGCCGCTTTAATATTTGTAGAGAATTTGGAATTTGTAGAGACTAACATCTAACAATTTGTTCAAATAAAATCATTTTTCAATAGGAGTAATGTTTTAGTCTACTTGAGAGAACCATTAGTTAGCAACAACAACATTTGAAGTTTTCATTTTGAAGGCATACTGACTATAAATAATTTATTTTCTTTGAATAATTACTAAGCAAAACGTTTTTCATTTTGTAAACGATTTCAGAAGCTAGGCCTCCATATGGCTTTCCACAATATTAATAGAATTGTTTTATCACATCGATGTAATAAAAATGTTGATCAACATTCAGACTGGAGTCGGAGACTATGATGCTTTTATTGTTAGATGGTGTAGTAGATATTTTTTACTAGTAGGCCTACTTAACAGAAACTCCGGTTTATTTCTTCGAAGTGCTAGTTATTTAAGTTATTTTAATCACTTAACAACAGCTTTTATCAATAAGATAGACAAATAAATAAGGAAATAGTACGGCATTGTCATACCTAAAACTTGCTTCTCGCGTCTATATTTACACAAATCATTGTCTTATTCTTACAATTTTTTACAAATCTAAGTTCATATTCGTGAAAATGTTTCACACAAAAACGAGAATTGTTTTAAGATGTCTAATTTGACCGAAGAATATCAGGAAGCTATTGTTGCTTACGGGGCGGATCACTTAGAATCTTAGAACACTGTATGTATTATTAATTTTTAATGGAGCTTTCGTAATTATTCTTGCATCCAGGCACATCACATCTATCTGGCATGCTGTATTAACAAGTTCAATGTCATTACTAATGATTAAGGGTAGTAGAAACGCGATTATGTACGTAGAGTACGCGACTCCTCCATTCACTGTAATTTTTTGAACCGCAGGGGGCTCACGCTTGCGTGGGTTCGTGGCCTGGGCGACCACGCGGACCCTAGCTCTCCCAGAGGGGAGGTAATTGCCCGGTGTTGGAACCGGCACTTCAGGTAGACCACAAGCTATGGACGACTGGACAAGCCAGCCTCTTTGGGTTTACCCAAAGTGAGAGTACCCAGTGACATTCCCTCCATTCAGGGTGGTGGGGGTGTTCAGCTCTGCTAGTGTTGATTAAGTTCATAGATCTTTCACCTGCCTGTAGCTTGTGGTTGTGACTGAGTCCTACCTGTCGTGTACGACTGACATTTTGTGAGGCATATCCTCGACTTTGGAAGTAGCCTCGTCCTGGGAGGTGAAATGCCTAGCCCCCAGAGGGGAGGTAAATGCTCCGTGTTGGTATCGGCATTTTCAAGTTGGCCACAGACATGGTCGACTGGGCATCGGGTCCCAGTGACATTCCTTTATCCAGGATGGAGGGGTTTAGCTCTAGGAGAGATGGAAGTACATCATAATCTCTAACCTACCTGTGTCTGTGGTTCTTTGGGCTTCGGCCTGCTTGTTGTGTGCGACCAGCATTCAGTGGGCAAATCCTCGACTTTGGAAGTAACCTTTCCTGGAGGTGAAAACGGGCAAGTACCCGCAGCTCACGGGGACACTCAAGGGCAACGTAACTTTCCGCAGTGTGAGGGCAACGGTTTGTAGGTACTTATGCAAACCAATCCCTGTCTCTGAGCACGGACGGTATGGTTATCTTGAGTGTGGGGGGTTCTTCCCGGAACCTCAATTGAGTCAAGGGTGTCGCCACCTCTGGTGGATAGGTTCATCCGGGTGGGTCCCACTTCTATACCTGCCTCCTTTTGGGAAACCCTGATGGCCTGGCAGTGATGTTGGGTCTGACGGGCAAACGAAGTAGATCGGGTGCTGGGTCCGAGCCCGCCAGGGGTATCTGGGGATCTATCGCTCTGGTTATCTCTGGTTTCCCAGCAATGGGTAAGGCCTCGATCGGGCAGCGGTGTAAATGGGAGGTTGGGGTTCCCCCCGTCAGCGTGCTGATGGTCCCCTTCCTCCTGGCTATCGATGGCGGGTTCTGCCTGTCAGGGATTAGATAGGTCCCGAGTGTTGCTTGCACTAAATGCGTCGGGGCGCTCTACTATGGACCTCTAGGTTCCGACCTAGTGGAACCCAGGTGGAGTGACGCTTAAACAAGCAGCCGGAATCCCTGGTTAGGATTGAGGGGCAACCCTCTTTCCGAAGGGTCTGCTCCGGCAGCCGGCGAGCCTGATGACCTTAAGTCATCCGCCCATGATGTGCTAAAGGTTGATGCGTAAGCTTCGGCCTACATCATGGGGCCCGGGTATGTCCTGAAGGATAGGTACCGGGTATGCAGTCAGGGGGCTTCGGCTCTCATGACAACAAATATATAATATATAATATATATAATATATATTCACTGTAATGTTAGGACGACCGCGCACCAAGACACGGATGCAATGTTGCCACTTTTCGCTCGCCGCGTCCTTGTATTAGAGGTGGCTGTGCTGCTACACAAGTACATGTATTTGGTGAGTATTGCTTTAACCTGTTGTAACAGGGATTGGTTACACAATCCATTTCAATAAGATGTATTGAAGGCGTAAATGTTTGTAACGGTTGGATCTGTAATGTTTATGTTTGAGTAACATTTGTTAATGTAATAACAACAACAACAACAAGTGCAAGGTATCAACTGTATCACTATCACTGTATCAGTTATATTTAACTGCAATGAGTAACAAATAGTTTAAAACGAAACTGATGGACATCATACAGCAGAAAAGTAAATACCTTACTTAATACATTGACAGCACACAATCCATAGAAATTGTAACGGCAATTTTATACATGTGTTGAAATCTACAGAAATTTAGCAACATTGTGTCAATTATCAACAAACTATTTTAATGATGTGTGTTCTAGCTGTTTAACAATAAGCCAGAAAATGTATTCCTTGTGTGGAAAATAAAACAGCAAAAATAACAAATCATAATAATTTAATATAAATTAAACATTAACAACAGCTCAGCTATTTTTTCTTACAATAATCGGTAAAGCTTTTCAATCATAACACTGCTGGAATGGATGTGTAAGTAGGTGATCTTTACGCAGCAACAAATCCGACTCCTTCTGTGACGTAAACTTGAGCGAGCTCATCGTAGTCATAGGTCCGCTTTAGGAACGTATCCACCAAGCGAATACCAGAAATATTCTGTAACAAAATGGTACTTTAGGCCTATCATAAATTTATACAGTGAAGTAATATTGATGTTGTTTATTGATTAAATAAAATGTATTACCATGTTGGGGCCTTGGTTTTAGGATTCTCATTGTTGGTCACATCAACTAACTCAGTAACAAAAATAAGGGAGAAAATAGAATATTAGACACTAGTGCAATCTGTGACTAGTTCACTCAACTAAAGAAATTGAAACCACATACAGTAGATTGTATGTCTACTTCAGTGTAGAAAGTCAATGGTTGTACTTTAGTTGTGTTTGTGTTAAGAATTAATAAAGAGTCTTCATTATAATAAAAGGGCAAAACATGTCTTTTTACTTACCTGTTTTTGAGTCTTAATTAGGAAATAGTTATTTGTGCAACTAGTGAGAAAAGTGAGCAATTGACTCACTCGAGAGAAATCCTTACTCACGAGCCGTAGGCGAGTGAGGAATGGTTTCTCGAGTGAGGCAATTGTACTTTGAACTTGAGCTGCACATTATACTTTTCCTACAGTTACCATAAAACAAATAAATTGGTGAAGAAACATAACCTATTTTTACACAGAAGTGAACTTTTAATATTTAATGTGAAGTGACAAATACAACAGTACAACAGCTGACCAGCTGATTTACAGCCAGTGCTGCCAACATATTTCGCGCACATACGACGTTGCCTGCATGTTACGCGCTCACTATTTCGTGCCTTCACGTTGCAAATCTGGAGTGAGACAAAGTATAGAGTGAGACAATGTTAACATTGTCTCACTGATGAGCGAATTGGCCACTTTGCTTTCTCAAATCAGTGAGAGAACATGTACATTGTTAGGTAACTGTAGGAAAAAGAATTTTCTTGTAGAAAAAGTATGTATAAAACCTGTTAATGATCTCAAATATATTTATTTTTTTACCTAAGTATTGTTTTTTAGGGTCAAATATATAAAAAATTTACATTTTTACAAAGCTATACTAATATTATGAAGATCACTCCAGTTATGAACTATTCTTTTCAACCTCTGAAGAAGACCTTAGGATGGAATATCAGTGTTAAATTTTGTGTTCTTATATTGTGCGTTAGACCATGTTAACACGTTCGCTGCGGTGGGGTCAAATTAGACCGGTGCCGGCTGAGTGCCAGGTGCTGCACGGTCGTAATCGGCTGTTCCCATGATTTAACTTTGAACAATCAGTGTGAACTCAGCTATTGAACGCGGAACATTATAATCGTTGTCAGCTAGAATGCGAGCTTTATTTTGGTGTAGGTTGGTACCAAAATTTCTCGTAAAATCCCGTCTGACAATGTTTTATCCTGGTTTCCCGGATTTTCTCTCTTCGAGCCACATTACATCTAGACACTGGCTACGGATCCAGTCAGTGCTGCTACCCTTGGGTATTTCAGTGAACTACGTCCGCTCTTGGGGTAAAGCAGCTCAATCACCGCTGCTCTTTTGGGACTCGTCAGACTGAAATATTTGAATGACAAAAGCGTTCACTGATTTGGTGATTCCGGGCCTCGCCGCCATTGGCGTGTGCCTGTTTGATGTATGCCGCCGTGAACAACTTAAGCTAGTAGTCTAACCTAGTCTAACTAAGACTAACCTGTAGTCCCGGCAGTAGAGGCACCACAGTCAGTGTTAGGTATGTCGACTGTCCAGGCTCCAACTTGCCCAGCTGTTGCCCAGACACAGCGCACCACGCCAAGCCGGGACACGACTCCAGTCTCAGTGATATGTCCAGAGTTCTTTCACTGAGGCAAATGTTTCAATTAGAATCATAGATTGTATACGATCATTGTTAGTGAAGAGTTAAGTATAGTAAAAACAAAACCAATTTCAACATAGAAATCAGTAGTGCAATGGCAAAGGTTTCCAAAAGAACAACTGTAGGTTATTTAAGGATTATGGGTTTTTACATGTAACAAGTTTATATTGATATTAAAAATTGTGAAATTATCTTAGAAAAAAAAACAAGATTCTTACATCATTGATACTTATTTAAATTCAAATTGCAATACCATAGAGAGTCCAATTTATTTCTATAAAGCCAGTCCAAATGATTTGGAAATCTACATTAATAAGCTACCAAAAAGAATAAGCAAAAGTTTAACAAAAATATCTTTTAATTTTGTTATCTTCATAAAGTTTTTTTATCTAATTTATATACTTCTTTATTTATCTTATCTCCTTTTTTCTTACTTTTTATTTATCACTCTTTTTTTCTTCATTAATATTATTACATACAAAACTAAAAAGTCTGATTATAGTACTGTGGAATGTTTTCTGTATGATTTGAATTCTTTTCTGATACAGACCCCAGATTGGTATTTCTTTTTTTAGTTATGAGTGAAAATTTAAAAACGTACGTTTTCATGTCCCTGGCCTTTTACTTCGTAGATACTGGATTTGTAGTTTATTATTATGTGTTTTAATATTTTTTTGGGACGGGGGCAACATGTTACACACATTTATTTGGTTTTAAATAGGTTCTAGGTATTTTTTTCGTATTTTTAAAGTCTCAAAATTCACGACCATGACGTGTCCCTAGGGTACATTTTCCAACTTTCACGCTGTTTTTAGACTAATTATTCATGCCGAAATATATAAAGCCATATTTTTATGTCATCAATGGTTATTAAACTTGCAAAAAAGGAGCATATTAGAATTTTATTGTCATTGCAAACTGACTACCATGACAAAATAAGTCTGTCCCTCGATTTAGCGTCACGACCATTTGGGAAAAATTTTCAACTTTGGAGCACGACAGTGGCAAGCCTGGCGTCGATGGAGTCAGTTGGTTTTAGAGACTAGTTCGGGGTGTACGTCAGGATTGTAGTGCCGGTCGTTTCGAGTTGAAAGGAGGAATTACAAGATTAATAAAGGAAAGATTGTGTCTTTTGTAATTTTGGTGTGTCCATGACCGTACGTAGTCATTCGATGAAGTAGATGTGGTGTTAATTTTTTTTTATAAGATATTTCAATTGCTAGATTAACCTAGAAGTCCACTTTGTATCCTCGAACATGAGGTGCAGGGCTACCGCCAGAACAGAGCCAAATGACACGTAATTTCACGACCAAAGTTTCACGACCATCACGGGTTTTTTCACGACCATTCCAGCCTTATGGATTATGGTGTGTTTGGTCGTGACAATAACTTTAATATAATTGTAAATTGAACAGTTTAGTTCAATTGAAACACATATTTTTATTATAACTAACAGTATAATTGAAGGATTGTTTAGAAAGATTTAGATTATTTCAGAAAATTCACGACCGTACCGCTTGTCCCTCACCATCACGTTTACGATTTCTATCATCAAAATTTCAAAAATTAAAATATCGTCATATTTCCATGTTTTATACACAAAAGAAGCACACCTTTATACAAACATAACGATTTTTCGGGTCTTAGGTAAGTTTTTTCGGAGTTATACAAACTTAAAAATATTTTATTGGCTTTTTTTCAATTTTTTGAGTTTTTTTATTTTTTTCTAGAAAAGACCAAATATACCAAAAGCTCAGTGACCTTTTTATTGTATAATGGTCATAAAAGTAAATTAGTTTATAGCAAAACATAGTTATAAAAATAATATTAACTATTTTTAATATTCATCTAAACGTCTGTTATGGTCGTGACAGGATTTTGTGTTTTTCCACTAAAGATGCTCTTTTAAAAAAAACTACCAAAGATATTGCGTTACCATGGACATTTTATGAAACTTCAAATGTTAATTAAATAAACAAAATAATAAAAGTTTTGAAAAAAGGGGAAAAAAATTTGCAAAGTGCTTTTCCTGAAAACGTACGTTTTTAAATTTTCACTCTTATAAGCTTAGCTGAGAAACATGGCTGAACAATAAATTTATTTGACTTTTGTTACTGTAATGATAAGTTATGCTGTAGTTCTTTGTGAATCTTTGCCATATTGGTAACCCCATAGCAGGAAAACGTGGGAGGAGGGGAGGTAGGAGGTAAACACCCAAGTTTTTCAAACTCCCTAGACATTGAACTAAAAGGTTATGCAAGAATATTTAGTATACGCAAGTTTGCACACTAAAGTATTGTCAGCTGCTGGACTAACAGTTCTTTGTGAATAAATATTCCATCAATCAATTTCCAATTATACTTAGCTGCAAGGAACTCGAAACATGATCTTAATTATTACAGTATTAAAATTGGTTTATGGGATACCTGTTTCTGCAAAGCCTAATCAAAATGTTAGGTACTTGTGTTGCAACTAGTTTTTATTTGTCATTAAGTCATCTTCAGGTATTGAAGGATGTCATAAGCACTCGTCAGATGGTCGGTCATCGATTCACAGGTCATGAAGTGATTTGATTATATGATCCTTCAAAACCTGAAGATGACTTTATGACATGTCAAAACTAGTTATGACGCATAACAAATGGATTAAGCAGAAACAGCTATTCAAACCAGTTTTTATATGCAACATAATACGGAAGCTAAAATAAAAAAATTAACTTAATTATTACCAAGTGTTGATGATTCGACACTGGAAGTCAAAAGGTTCTTCCAATTGTACAATGTTGGGCAGTTCTTGTACAGACAAACGCATGTCGCCGTACTCTGGGGCCTGTCAACATGTTCTAGTTAAACATTACAACCACTACTGAAATATTTCAACATTAGAATCATAGTAAATTTACTTCAGTCTAAAATTGCAGATCCAATGTAACAGAGGTAAGATGACTTTGAGCATTTGAGAACCAATGACACTCACTATTATAGCTATTCATGTTAGACTGAGTGGTCATAGTGCCTGTCCACTATTTAGAAGGTTGCAGTTGCAGGTATAATATTCATGTCAGACTGAGTGGTCATAGTGCCTGTCCACTATTTAGAAGGTTGCAGTTGCAGGTATAATATTCATGTCAAACTGAGTGGCCATAGTGCCTGTCCACTATTTAGAAGGATGCAGTTGCAGGTATAATATTCATGTCAGGCTGAGTGGTCATAGTGCCTGTCCACTATTTAGAAGGATGCAGTTGCAGGTATAATATTCATGTAAGACTGAGTGGTCATAGTGCCTGTCCACTATTTAGAAGGTTGCAGTTGCAGGTATAATATTCATGTCAGGCTGAGTGGTCATAGTGCCTGTCCACTATTTAGAAGGTTGCAGTTGCAGGTATAATATTCATGTCAGACTGGGTGGTCTTAGTGCCTGTCCACTATTTAGAAGGATGCAGTTGCAGGTATAATATTCATGTAAGACTGAGTGGTCATAGTGCCTGTCCACTATTTAGAAGGATGCAGTTGCAGGTATAATATTCATGTAAGACTGAGTGGTCATAGTGCCTGTCCACTATTTAGAAGGATGCAGTTGCAGGTATAATATTCATGTCAGACTGAGTGGTCATAGTGCCTGTCCACTATTTAGAAGGATGCAGTTGCAGGTATAATATTCATGTCAGGCTGAGTGGTCATAGTGCCTGTCCACCATTTAGAAGGTTGCAGTTGCAGGTATAATATTTATTGAGTGGTCATAGTGCCTGTCCACCATTTAGAAGGTTGCAGTTGCAGGTATAATATTCATGTCAGACTGAGTGGTCATAGTGCCTGTCCACTATTTAGAAGGATGCAGTTGCAGGTATAATATTCATGTCAGACTGAGTGGTCATAGTGCCTGTCCACTATTTAGAAGGATGCAGTTGCAGGTATAATATTCATGTCAGACTGAGTGGTCATAGTGCCTGTCCACTATTTAGAAGGATGCAGTTGCAGGTATAATATTCATGTCAGACTGAGTGGTCATAGTGCCTGTCCACTATTTAGAAGGATGCAGTTGCAGGTATAATATTTATGTCAGGCTGAGTGGTCATAGTGCCTGTCCACCATTTAGAAGGTTTATTTTTGGCAAAGACGGTATTTTTTTGGAGGGTTGTAAAAGGTTTGGCTTTGCCTCACACAAGAACCTTGAATGCACCAGAAAGTGTCACGTTGGACTAACCATAAAATTAGAGGTCTGATGGCCAGGCTTTTTTACATGGGGTCAAAATGTTGACATTTGGGTCTCTGGCAAAAATTGGGTTGCTTTATCAAATATACTAATTTATTGCTAAACCGTACAATTGCTAAATCTTCCAAGGTTGCTGTAAAATTCTGAATATCTCTTGTAATCACGGAGACATCATCGTCATTCACGTTTGTAGCAAAATAGAGATTCTTTGATTGCCCAATCTTCGCATATGCTTTCTGCTACCGGAAGAATAAAAGTTTGGATCTATAGTTTAGTCACTTGTAAAACTCTAATTTAAGTAACCCGACTGTTGGCCCTGCCCAATAAGAAAATTTTGGGGACCGGCAGACTCCTACATAAACTGTACAGTACAGCCAGGCGAACTTGACACTCGATAACTAAGCAGTTTTAAAGCAATTCCAGCAAGAAACAGTTTAGAACTGAGCAAACCTGTAAAGTGTTTGTAACTTTTGTCACAAAAAAACTTTATCGCGACCAAAACAAGCAGCAAACTACAAAACACCTAGATTCAATAGTTTTACGGTCCATTTCTTCCTTCAATTGGAGCTAGAGCTGCTTGCAGACATTGAGTTATGTATACCTGATGATAGAAGCACTATTCAGTCCATTTCATAGTTATTTCATAAAAAATATGTTTATTCTATAACAAGTTAAATTAATGTATTTTCGTCATACTGCAGCAAAAACAGCGTTTTTAATGCATGTGTTGCGGGTATAAGTAGTTTAATTTCACATTTTTACTCTGTAGAAGGAGTAAAAAAATACATGAATAGTAAACTTGATCATAACATACTTTAATCATAACATTTCTTGTAGCAGCAAACCTAAGTACTTATTGAATCTAATGTTATTCATATAGTGAATAAATCTGGCAAGTTTGAGGAATTATTTTAGTGAGAGTATCAGGCAAATTGAAATTCCCTCAGTCAGCAGGTTTGCTGCAGTGGGGATATTTCCCAATGGCATTTCAAACTCCTGCACCCTTCAAGTCTACATTTGAATGCTACTGTACCATTCTCTGCAGCTGAGAGGTCTGCAGTCGACCACGCTCGCCCAGGTTGGAGCGCCACACAATGTCTAGTTTGCCGATGTTGGTCGCCCCGCTCAGTAGCTTCAGGTCCTCAGTCAAGGAGGCCTGAGGCCGCAGACAATACAGGAACTGTCTACTGGCGTTGGCCGGAACACAGTTCACCGGGCCAAACACGGACTCGCCATTCGTCTTGGTGTTTAAAGCCGTTACTGCAAAATTGTCAGTTATTATCCTAAAAATATTTATTTTGATTTAGATAGTTTACAAGCCAGACCAAAAACATCAGGGTTGTGATGTTAAGGGTCCAGGTTGTTATTCAGATTTCAAAATTGTTCAAATTAGCCAGAAATTCAGTAAAATTTAACACAAGATAAAATAAAACAATAGTCACAGCGGTACCATGGATCATCTTTCCCAATCACATAAATATCCTTTATTATCACCGAGATCTAATTTTTCTTACTAAACAAAGACCTTGAAAGAGAACCAACGGAATATAATTAAGATTTAACTGAAAATTATAATAAGAAAAATCTTTGCTGGACGTGGTTATTCTAGGATATAGTAAATACTGTATGTATAAAATCATAATCCTTATTTTAAGTATTGCTTTAATTAATTTGTAAGACTCAATTGTAGTTATTTTTTTTTAAATGTTGTTCTATAATTTCTTGGAGTGATGTGTGTAACTGATGTTGTATAATTATATTATCCTAAGAGATGAAAAATCAAAAATGTGGGATGTATTTTTAGATATTATTAATATGTATAATTTAGGTTAGGTTTGACTCTATTCTTTGTAAACAATTTACATGTTAAAGAATAAAGAAGTTTTAAATTGAATTGAATTGTCAGATTGGACCATAGACTATTAGGGATTATTCCAAATTTCCTGGTTCCATAAAAAATCTACGTACAATTCACAGACATTTTTCTGGTTATCAAAATTCACGAACTATCACAGTAAAAAATACCACCCATGCAACAAACCTGCCAACTAAGCGAATTTCCAACAGCTTGATTGGATTTTCACTGTAAAATTTCCATAGTCATGTCAGAATAATTCCATACTTAAACAACATTAGGTTTAACGAGTACAGTACTTCGGATTGCTGCTAAGGAAAGGTAATAAAGTGTTTTTATAGTAAAATATTATGCTGGTTCGCGAACTTGTTCAAATAAACGCAGGTTTACAAGTTTGTATCAAATTTCATCAAAATAAGATGATTTTTGATGTATATGAATTTGAACAGATGTTTTTGGCCTCTTGGAACAAAACAAAAAAATATATCGGTCCTGGGTCCAGGTCTTACTATGAGACCCACGGCAGCCCTAATAGCTTATTTCTTACACGGGAAATTTGCTGAAACTAAGGGAGAAAATATAATCTAAGACTGTGGGTGGCTCATTCAACTGTGTACGATTATATAAAGTGTAAAGTTACAAATAATATTTAAAAGATACCATTAAACAGATGAGATGATTCCAAGGTGACCTTCTCCAAACTGATTGGTCCAGAAGTGATGTTCTGCACTTGGGCTTCTAGGTAAACTTCATCTGACTGAAATCAAAGTGAGGAAAAATTTTAAGAATTTTAAATATAACTGTCACTAGAATTTGGCTTTTGACACGAGGGTTGTAGTGTCTGTCAGAAATATTCTTTCTACACTCAGTGTCTATGGACACTGTGTTATTAAGACGAGACACATTTTTTTCAGGGTTGGTACTAAATTTGGAAAATCAAATTCTCTGACTTTTCCAGGTTTTCCAGACTGATATTATACTTTTTTTCAGGTATACCGTAAGTCGAAATTGACTAATCAAAATCAAGAAATATTCAAAAAAATGTAAATATCTTTTTACTCATTAAATTACTTGCAAATACAAAACTTGTTTCAAACTATATACATATCGATTCGTCTCTCATACTGATAACTAATTTTCGATATAAAAATGTGCATCAGTATTTGCTTATGTCGTTCTTTTTGACATTGGTCATCTCTGAAAAAAAACATGTTAAGAGAAAAATGTAGAATATCTGTAAAAAGGTAGTATTTTAGGAGAAATTCCAGAATCTTTTCATCATTCCCTGACTTTTCCAGGTTTTCCCTGACCGTACCAACCCTGTTTTTGTGTCTCATTCATTCAATAAACTATGTTAGCGTAAGAAATTGGACATGTAAATTACATCCTGGCATGGAAGCAGTTAGTTAATTTGGTATTATTAATGGTGACAGACTTAACACCATTGTGTTCAGTGTTGCATGAAAGTCAAATTCAAAGACGACTCCCAGGTTTTCCAGGTTCAAAAATAAAAATGTTCAAATAAAAACATTGCTTAAAAAAAACCACTTATTTGTACCTACATTATAAAGTGTTCAATGGACCTATATCAATCTCAATTCAAGAAGATTAAAATCTATTTAATGACACCATGTTGTTAGAAACCCGTGATCACTTCACACAGTTATAGCAATAACTGTTATGATTTTTCTAACCGCAGGAACATCCGTGACAGTCTACCGCGATTGCAGCAACATCTGCGATAAGTTATTATGATCACTCATTTTTTGCGATTTTAATTCTTACTTGACACAACTACGTGAAAAGAGAACAAACAACAATTATTTTAACTGTTTTAACTAGCGATTATTCAAAATCTAAAATCCCCGTACCATACAAAATTCACAGATTTTCCTGATTTTTTCCCAAGTAATCAAACAAGATAAAATTAAAATTAATTACAACATTTGAACACCTCCATGGTGAAATCAATAAGTAAAGCAGATGTGAGGAAACAAGTTAATTACAATATTGAAATACGTGCTTGAAAGCAAGAAGATGTGAAATTTAGAATCTTAAATACTAATTAATTAACACATTCACCAAATATCTCTATGTATTTACAAAACAAATGAAAAAATAATTGGTTCAATTTCAAGACAGTAAAAACATAAATTATTACATGGCTATTATGGCAAATATTTAACAAAATGTATCCATTTTAAAATATAAAATAAAAATAGCCTAAAGAAAGAATATATAATTTTATTCCAGTCTGCAGTTAAGTATCAATTGCACTGGTCATACATAATATTACAGAAAACATTATTTTATTAATAATATATAGGCTACCTACATAAAATCGATAAGTAAAATGTTAAAATACAAACTTAAAATCAAACTAAAATGGAAAAGAATGTGACTTACAATCAGCTCCTTAAAAGATACATGCAGAAGGTCACCATACAGCAATTGGGCATGCAAACAAAAATCAAAAATGTGTGCCAAAAGATAAGTGTGACTAGAAATATAAACTAAAAAAATTATAAAGAGGACAATAAAAGTGGCTAGTAGTAGACCTATCTATACCATTGAGCAAAATGTACTTATTGAAAGTAATACTAAAGCAAGCTGCAAAACTTGAACACCAGTTTGTATGTCTAAGTGTTGAAAAATGTATTTGATTGAATTTTAGCCTTCTAATCACATTAAAACACTATGAATTGGTGTAATTACCTGTATTTTTGCGATCTAAAACGTTGCGGTATGGCAAATAACTTTAACTCACATACAGATCATCCTTAGACCAAAACTAAGATGTCTTCTTGTTGCTTCATTATTAAAGTCATTCAAATGAAGCAATAAGAAGACATCCTAGTACTGGCCTTAAGATGACTCGTATGTGAGTTGAAATAAATAGTTGCCATACCTTTCAGATCGCATAAATGCAGGTAACTACACAAATTTATAAGGTTGAAATAGCAGTTTACGCAACAATCACGTGAAGATAGTCTTTACGACACTCGTAGAAGAAGGGTCGTGCATTAAAAACTTCTAAGAGTGTCGTAAAGACTATTTACGAGCGTTGCGTACACGACTCTTTTTAACCCTCCGAGTGTCATGCGTCGCTGCAGCGACGCGTAACGCACTTTGTATAGTGCCGTGCGTCGCTGCAGCGACTCGCGAACACTGTTTACGGCGAAGGCTCTATGACTAACTGAATCGGACTGTACTGGATTGAGTTAGGTATCGTTCTGTCCGTAATATTCTAAGCTTTCTGCAGAGGTCTGTCTCTAAGCACTATTCATTTTAGTTCCGAAAATATTGTAGCAGACAGCTGACTGAGCTGACGTGCGTGTATTTGTAAGCAGCTAGGTTACCCTCGGACCGATGACTGATGTGTTTTATTACGTTTATCATTGTTTTAGTGTTAAAAATCAAAAGTAGTGATATACGTGGTGCATTATAAGAAGATTTAAGTGGTTTTGAAGTGCTGGTTGATGATCCTGAAGAAGTAGGTAGTGATATTGATGTAAATTATCAGCCAGATTCCTAGCTATGGTTGGGCTATGCATTCTTAGCTAAACGCTATGTACTGAAATCTGTTTTTTGCCCATAACTTTTTTATTTGCAAATCTACTTCCTTATATTATTATAGATTTGTAATCCTCATAAAATTTAGAACAAAGTGGCTATTTTCAAATATTTATAGGCCTATAATTTATACAATTTCATTGAGCGCAAACTTATTTTTTTTTGAAAATTTTCGAAATTATACATTTTTTTACCTAAAAATTTTTTTTTTTTTTTAATCTTCCTTATGTTTTATATATAATATTGAAGCCCAAGATTTTCCAAACAAAATGGTATATAGAACAGTATAATTAACATTGTTTTTAAGCTTCTCAGATCAGTTTTAATAAAACCTTGCAAATGAGCAAAAAATAGGCTGACATTAAGGCCAAAACACGTGACACTCGGAGGGTTAAAATACTAACAAACACTACTCATAACTTCCAAGAGAGGTTATGTTTTTATTCATAACCTCTCATTGCTACTGATAGTGATGCAACGACTCATTGTACTAACCACTCATGAAATGTTACATCCTGTATGGTTAGTTAGAACAGTTTCATTTCAATATATTTTTTTTATTGTTTGTTGATACTAAATAATAAGTATTTATTTATCGTAGTTGTCAGCTGATATGTTTCAATTAGTTTATAGTGATATATTGGATCGAATAATAAAATATCGATATATTCGAAAATTATTGATAATTATGAATGTTTTCTTTAACAGGAAAGTACCAAAGTAAGTAACAATGCTGTGAAGTGAATCTTTCAATTCTAAGAACTGAATTGAAAAGGCTAGTTTGAAAAACATCCAAAAACGGTTGTAGGAAAAATTGTTTCCAGTTTAATTCTAAACCCAACAGTCTTGTTACTATTGATCCTGATAAATTAATTTGTTTGACGTTATCAGAAAAAATCTTATAAAAGATAGTTCTACCAACCCACATTCATTCTTTCGGCATGATTTCTGAAAAATATGTCCACCATATTTAAAGAAGATCGCTGTGTTATAGATAGAAAAACTATAAATTATTTTCTGTGAAACTTAATGTTACACATACACAATATCAACACTACCTTCACCTTTAAGCAAGGAAATTGATTAATTATAATAATACTTTCAACCTTTTTTGTTAGAGTTAAATTCTATGCGGCAACTATTTTGTTTAAGATACAGAGCAATCAAGAAATTAACCAAACTACTATGGTACCTCAACCAGGATATTCAGTTGGTTTATTGATGTCAGTAGAATGAGCTTGTAAACTCATTCTATCTAATTTGCAGCTAACAAAATTAATCTGTTGAAAATTGAAATTACTTCCCCACTTGGCTTGTAAATAGTCCTGTGAGGTTAACAATCAGTAGCTCACCTCTGCAGTGTAAAACTTTGTTTTCACATCTAATGGCTTGACAACTTGAAACTTGAAGAACTTTCTAAACGAGAGTCTGTTACTGGTCAGGGATTGGGGAGAGTAGCTCACTTCACACACAAGTCTGTAAACACGACAAAGTAATTCATTCTTTGGTAACGAAAAGTTAATTAGAGGAACCATAATTGAACCATTCCAATAACTACCATCCCTCCTCATACTCTAATACTGAAACTCCCAAACTCCATGTAGAAAATAGAGTTTAGAACCTAATAAAATAAACAGTATCATTAATCTGATACATACTTTCTACCAATAACATGTCAACAACCCCTATCATGGGTAAGCGGCAGGAGCAACTATGATATGTTATGGGGAAAATCACAAAAGTTGCAATTAGTTTTGAACCCAAATTTTTAAAGCAATGGGGGTTGTATAAAAGTCATATAAAATCATAATGAAAAAAAACAAAAAAAAAACTGGAGATATAATGGATTAGTACCCTACTCAATTACCAAATGTCATCTAAATCGGACCACAGGTACGGTCTGTAACTCTGTACACATCCACACACAACAGATATCCATTAGAAAAACGGGACCGCGTCTCGTTGTCCCTCCGTCTCGTTGTCCCTCCGTCTACTTGTACCTCGAGGCCTAGGGACAACTAGTCGTAGGTACAACTAGACGTAGGTACAAGTAGACGGTGGCTCACCCGACTAGTTGTACCTGCAGATTTTTAGGAGGTACAACTAGACGTAGGTACAAGTAGACGTAGGTACAACTAGACGTGTATCCCACCGACAAGTAGTATCACCTAGCTTGTACGGATGCGACCAGTTGTCCCTACGACTAGTAGTCTCTACGACTAGTAGTCTCTACGACTAGTGGTCCCTCCGTCTAGTAGTCCCTACGTCTAGTTGTACCTAAGCGTGTTTTGCGTCCTTATAGTCTAGTTGTACCCATCCTTCAATTCGTTACCCTGTTTAATTGATTACTGCACGAGTACTTTTTAATAATACCCTTAATTAAATCAGGAACTGCAGTCGATTGAGTATGATTGGCAAATATTTTTCACCGCAATACGATGTTTTAGTAGTTTTACAGACGTTAATTGGAGGCTGAAAGCTACGCATTGCTGTCCAGGGTCGAAATGGCAGCTATAGTTGTGATTAAAATTTTCCAGCCCTAGTACCGAAAATCGCTTATTTAATTAAAACATTTATATATATATCATTAAATATACAAGCAGTATATCCCTAATGAATTGCAATAGACCGCTGCCCAGCAATTATGTATTACTATTTTTGCTGATTCCTTTAAATATTTTTTCACATAACCTTAAAGTATTTGCATTGTTTAGTGTGCATATCTTATAGTTTACAATGGATTTCCCAGTGATCAATGAACAATGAAGTGTACAATGAAGTTGAGGTCCAGCGGTTGAAAACTCGACAAAAACTATGCAATGTACTACACATACTTCTCCTTTTAGCGAATTCCCCTATAGGGAAGTAGCTATTACCGTAGGTCTCATGGTAAGACCTAAGCCCGGGACCGATTTACTTTTTCATTTTGATGTCCCCAGAGGCCAAAAACACCATTCGTTCAAATTTTTATATATCTATATATAGATATATATATATATATATATATATATATGTGTGTGTGTGTGTCCATCCGCACGATAACTTGAGTAATTTTTGTCCGATTTTGATGAAATTTGGTTTGAAGGTGTAAGGCGGGATAAACTTGAATGAGTTCGCGAACCAGCATGATCGGACTATGGGAACGGGGGTTTATGGGGGGTTTTATGGGGTAAAAATAGGTTTTTCCCATTTTTGACTCTAAAAACACCAAATTTCTAAATTTCTTTTCAAACCATTTTGTAGAGCTTAAAAAAACAAATAATTTAGTATATTGAAGCGTTATTATGCGCCTAATTGTTACGGAGAAAATTCAAAAAAATTGTAATTTTAAAATTCCCATGTTATTCTTATGGAGCAGAAGTCAACTGTTGTAGTTTGCTTGTTTATGAAAATATTTTAATCAAATTTGGAAAATACATTAACTTCTTACTAAACCACAGTACCTTTTAACATTTTACATAAAAAAAACTTGTTTACCCTCCCTGTTGCAGCAAACCTAAGTACTCATTAAACTAATTCTGTTTAAATAGGGAATAAATGTGATATTTTTAAGGAGACATTTTAGTTTAAATCCAATCAGGCAAATGGAAATTCGCTAAGTCTGCAGGTTTGCTGCGGCGGGGGTATTAACATACACTGTAAATAATAAATGTGATTGGAATATGTTCCATTTGTTTTGATTTTATTTTCATAATTAGTTGTTATTTCGTCACCAGCATAGCAACCCGTTAAACCCATGTTAGTTTTAAACATTTGTAATTCTTTTTTTTATGTCTTTTTAGCCTATTTTAATTTATAAAGGCATTCTGTAGATCGACAGGAAAATACATTTCCACCGAAATGCGGATATTTTCTCTGTGATGTTCACGAGCTGATAAAAAGGTTGTAAAGAAACATGCTTGCCTACATTATTGATATATTTTCTCAGTTTTGTATAGTTTGGTGAAAAACAGCAATCGTACCACGGACCGATTTCATCTTCGTCTCGAACTTAAAAATGATCCCGAGCTGAAAAAAGTCATTTTCGGCCCTAGGTACGAAATATACTCTTAAACTATCGTAGGATCGGTGAATACTAAACTCTATCTTGGAATTGCATACACTCGCTCCTATCTTTAAGTTTACGTTGTTGCCATACAATAAATGTATAAATAAACACAAAAATTCACAAGTTCTGTTGTAAGTACCTATATCATGTATAAATAAAAACATACAATAGCATCATGTGTAAGTGTATTCTGTAAAACTTTAAACAAATATTAGTAAAATAGTTTTCAGGTAAACTATTGTTGAATGAATTAGTTTTAAGTTGTTAAATTAACCTCGACCCGTGCTATATGTTTAATGGAGTTTGTCCGGAAAAATACCATAGTAAAATTAAATCAAATAAATAAAATCAAAAGCAATTCATAACAAAAGAATAATAGATACAGAATGAACGTAATTTCTGAAAATCGACAGGGCCCACATATGCGAAGCCTGTGCGTGGGGACCAAGTTGACTCAATAATTGGCAATTTGTCATAGTCTTGTAACATAATTAACTACCACTACTATAATTATCAATACATTTTCAAAGGAGAAACAAACGTCCGATTATTTCTAGGCAGCCACAACAGATAACTTTAGAAAACTACGTTATAAGAATTAGAACAACTCAAAAATTAAATTGTTAACATGATTTGTTTAGCCTAACGAAGAAAATCATGAAAACCAAATTTAACTCCCATAAGAAAAACATGGGGAGCAATTTCGTTTACGTATAAGCCGAGTGAGATAATAGAAAAATATACGCCGATGCTTGATGGCAAATCTGTGCGTGCATACCTTTAATTTGAGACCTCAATAATAAAAATGGTCGGGTAGCAGAGCCAAACGAATAACCCATTTTCTTAAATTTATAAGATTATTTAATTATTTATTTATTTTAATTATTTATTTATTTTACTTGACTGTTAATACCAAAGCAAAAGCTTCAACTTCGTATGCGTCCGGATTACGAATAAACCTAAAACAATCTTACACCAATTTACCAATAAGTTTAATAAACCAAAATTGCACATACTCCGGACAGATTTCTTATAAAGAGATGCTATGACAATATGATCAAATCTCTATTTAATATCGTTTAGGTTGTGTATTGATTAGTCAGGACATTGATTGAATAAATAAATATTTAAACAGTATATATAGACTAGGCCCGTTTTCAAAAAAAGGCAATGCAAGAAGCATTTCATGTAACAATTGGGGAAACAACGTTTTTAGGGTATTTCGACCCTGCTGAGTACGAATCTGCCTGTTGCCAACGCGAAATTTGAACCGGAAGTGCGGTATCCAAGATGGCGGCCAAAACTCTTTTTGCCCCATATCTCCCTTGTTAGTTGGCCTAAAATAATGGTTTAAACGTGTATATAGGGGTTTTTTAGATGCCAAACACATTACAACACTCAAAATTGACTTAAATTAAGTTTTGAGGGCATATCTTCCAAAATGGCGCCCAAGATGGCCACCAAAAACTCTAATTTCCGCATATCTCCCTTGTTTTTTTGGCTGAAAATAATTATTTAGACATAGGGCATAGGGGTTTTCTCTGATGCCAAACACATTGCAACACCCAAAATTTACTTACATTAAGTTTTAGGGGCATATATTCCAAGATGGCACCCGAGATGGCCGCCAAACACTCTTATTTCCGTATATATATATATCCCTTGTTTGTTTGTTTAAATTAATTATTTAAACGTCTACAACGGTATTTTCTTCGGATTTTAATCACATTGCAACACTCATTATTTACTTCCTTTGAGTTTAGATGACATATGTTTCTAAGATGGCAATAAAAACTTTATTGTGCTTACGTGAGCTCCGTGCGTATTATTGTATTTATTGTTTAAAACCAGTCAGGTATCTATTAGTATGGCTGAATATGTGCTACTATTTTTTAAATACCAATTGAAATTTAGCAATGTTAAAGTAGAAGGCAAATTGTTTAATGTAGGCTACTCTGGTGGCACCGTAGATAACGCTAGTACAACAGAACCGTTAATTAACGATTTTTTAGAATTAAGTGTGTATGATGTTGACGAATTTATCACTTATTTAAGGTGTCCAGTTATGTAAATAGATATTTATTGTAAAATATGACGATACCATACGTATTTTTTTATGTTTTACAGCAATAAATAATTTCATTTGATCTGAACGTGTAGTCCATCAGAACCTGTAAAAATTATTTTTTAGACCATCCCTAAAATCTGCAAGAGGTGGTGCATGTAAATTAAATTAAACAAAGGTACTTTATAACACATTAATAAATAATAATAAACAATTTGGTTATAATATTAACAATGATACTGTACTGTTATATTGCATTGATCTTGTGGTACCACCCATCAATGGAGGTTTGTTTACCATGGGTCTCAATGGATAAAATATATTGTTAAAGGGTTTTTTTATGGCAGCATGTTGGCCAAGCGT